GTAGCTAACCATTAATGGTAAAGAAAAAAGGTGAGACTAAGCGTATGTAAGTGCGCACATGTGAAAACATTGCGCCATCACTCTACATAAGAATATGAAAGCAACACTTATTTACTGTTCATATATGTTTTAATTAATGTTTCTGAATTTAAAACAAAAATTCTACTCACCAGTGGTGGTAAAGTTGAAAACATAAGGACAGCCAATGTTGTTGTGTGTGTTTTTACTCGGATGACAAAGTTGCCAAGTTATCAGGTTCAACTCTAGCTGAAGCTGTAGAACATAAGAACTTTTTCTGTGTTGTTTTTAGTTTTTATTTAATTTTATCTGTGTTAGTTTCGTTGGTTCATTAGGATGTTGCTTTATTACAGGTAGTAATTTGCCCCAAAAAGTAGGGCAAATAAGGCAAAATTTAGCCAAACATCGAAAGTACCTGACTCAAATTAGTTTTCTCCATAGGAATTTGTATTTATATTTGGACGATTTGAATTTTGCAAGGTTTTTACATTCTAAATAGGTGTCCAAATATGAGAGCCTACATATGAAGAAACAAACATTCCTGCGCTCTGAGACCAGCAGACAACCTTTAGCAATTCCTCAATAGATGGCGCTGCCTCACCACTGTCATTAGTAAACAAATCGCACAGCAGCAAGGGTTTATTTTTATTTATTTTTTGCAGTATATCAACAATATTAATTAAATCAATTGTTTTATAGTACAGTATTACCCCGCTTTACACGGTTTCACTTTCCGCGATTTCTCATTTACGCGGTACCTTGCCAGAACCAGACTTTCACTTTCCGCGGTGCATCCTACTCATATACACGGTGAAGTATAATTCTTTTTTTTTTTTTTTTTTAGCTCATAAAATTCATACAAATTACCCGGCCAGAATATAATTTACATTGCTGGAATTCTTACAATATGATGATCATTTTGAATATAAACATCATGGATTTTGCATTAGACATACAAATTGGTTTACACAAAGCAAATATTTTATCTTTTGTGCAAAATATATGAAGTTTACATTCAAAATATTCCCTGATCTGCAAGGAATCCAGAAATGTCAATTATATTATCCTAACTTTAGTCTGAGGTATTATTTATTACTAAACGTTAAAATCTAGAGTTTTCACCCAAACATTAATCAGAGAGGTAGGAGCTAGTGAGCTGGGAAGAGGGGCGGGGGGGGATTTGAGTCCATTATTTGAATGGACATTAACCTGGCGACTGTATTTCTCCTAAATGTTAATTGTGTGAGCATACCATCATAAAATTTAGATGTTATTTCTACTACAACATAGGTATTGTGTCGGAAAAAGTGGAGTTTGGGGGTCGGGCCAGTCTCTATTGGAATTAATCCCATATGTTCTGTTGTTCACTTTACACGGTTTTCACTTTCCGCGGTACCCTGTGGGTTCAATTGACCGCGTAATCGGGGTACTACTGTACTGTATAGAGAATACTTGTAATTGCTAAGTATTGTAATGAGGTAACAGTCTTTGTAAGGAGTTGATTTCAGTTGGCCCTAAGAAAACCTCTGCTACAACTCATCAAGTAGCATCCTGGAAGATGCATGGTATTTTTCAAGGGATATTTTTTTTGATAAAAAGTGGGTCTTCCAAGCCAAAAAATATGGTACTGAATCAATACATAAATAAATCTGATGAATGTGGCAACACCCAATCAGCCTCAACCTGCTTATTTTTTAATTTTTTTTTTATAACAGGTATTAGCCCACTCGGGCACAGGTCACTGACCCACATCGGAGCCTGGGGGCGAAAATTTAATAATAATAACAATAATAATTAGTTCATAGTAAATACAATTAAAATGCAAAATACAAAATTAAAAATAAAATAATAATAGCAACACTGAAAATAATAACAGTAATAATTATAATAATAATAATAAAGGACCATAAAGAAATAAAAAAAAAAGATCAATAGTTTGAAACGATATACTGTATGTACAGTATGTTGTGTTGTCAAAGTAAGAGAAACAATTGAGACTGCAATTTAATTGTGTGTAAATGAAGCAGAAAGTCAGATCAGCAACCTGGGACTTCGTCACAATTTTTGTGATGCCATATGGCAGCAGAGTCTACCATTAGACAACACATTATGCTTCCAATATCTTCCAAGGCGGTAGTACCTCCCTGTTTGATAGCTGCCTACTACCATATTCAAGTGTCTTAGTTCTCAGTAGGCCTATAGCAAATCTGATTAAACCACTGTACATTATTCAGTAAGTGTGGTTAATTTCATAAGATTTTTTTTATTAATCTTCCCCATTTCTTTTTTTTTTTTACTTTCTGGTAACGAGAGCATCTCAGAGTCCGAAAAAAGCAAATTCTAATAAATTGAAGTCCGATTTATCGAGGTTTTACTGTACAAGGTATTAGAAAACCATACTCAAGTAAAAGTACTAAAAAGTTTTAGTACTTTTTAAAAAGTAGATACACAAAAATTTTACTTGAGTATAGTACTCAAGAAAATTTATTTCGTTACTTGACAACTCTGGTATGCAAGCAGGCTGATGCTGATTGGGTGTTGCTGTATTCATCAGGTTTATTTATTTATTGATTCAGTATTATATTCTCATATGATTGGCTTCTATTGGTTTATGGTTCATCATGAGTAATACTGTATATGTACAGTCAACCCTCGCTTTACGCGGTCCCACTTTACCCGTTTCCACGTTTACGCGGTACCCTGCCAAACACGGAATGCTCACTTTCCGCGGTGTGTGTACCCTTTTACGCGGAGAGCTGCGCGAGCAGGGTGCGCACAAGGTCGCCCAGTCATCAAAACATTACCGAGTTCTTCACCCGCCACCCACCACAGCCAGCCCAAGTCAGTGATAATGATAGTGAGGATATGGACTTTTATGGACTTTGAGGGGTTTGACAAAGAGGCCCTGCAAGCCTCTGTGGTGGACAGTGATACAATTGATACAAGTGATACAGGTGAGGGCCAATAATCTGCCCTCTGCCTCGGAACCAACCCCCCATCCCCGTGTGCCCAGCCATCTTTTCTACTAATGTAAGTGTTAAAAAACCTAATATTATTGATATTTCTCTTAATTATTAATTGCGTGTGCATACCATCATAAAATTAAGAAGTTATTTTCACTACAACGTAGGTATTGTGTCTGAAAAAGTGGAGTTTGGGGGTCGGCCCGGTCTCTATTTCAATTAATCCCATATGTTATGTTTTTCACTTTACGCGTTTCTCACTTTACGCGGGCTGCCGTGGGTTCAATTGACCGCGTAAAGTGAGGGTTCACTGTAATTTGTAATATGACTTGAAAGTAAAAGGATAAGCTGTAATGGAAGGTATTCATTCAGGATGAATTCCTGTGAGAGCTTACAGTAGACCAGCTTACAACAGGGTCAGTATAATACACCGTATAGTATCTGATATGAAGATACCTTCTTAAAAACGTTTTTTACTACCTTTGTAAACCAGTTGAAGAGTTGTGTAGATCTAAGAGGTAGGACTATTACTCTGGATAGGTTGTACACCAGTGTGGAATTGTTTGAATGGCTCCTGTCAGAAGGTATGATTGCCATAGGTATTATTAATGCTGGTAGGAAAGGTATACCCCTAGAAATACAAGCTACAACTGGAAGACAAGACAAATCATATGAAGTATACTGGGAAAAATGTAATGGTAAACTCTGTTTGAATTCCTATGTAACTCAGACCAAGAGTGCAGGAATGAAAAACATTATGCTCCTCAGTACAGTACCTCCTCTGCTAGGAATTACTGAAGATATCAGTCGAAACAAACCAGCTACCTATAGACTGTACTACTTCACTAAGGGAGGCACAGACGTTGTTGACCAAATGACACATTTTTACACTGTCAACACTAAATCTCAGAGGTGGACTGTCAATTCCTCCTCTTACATACTCAATACTGCCAGAGTAAATTCACGGACAGTTTTTTCAATGAATACAAATACTAACCCTAGAAGATTAAATTCATTTACGTATGGGTGGGAGTTGGTGAAATCTCTGTGTAATCCACAAATGGAGCAAAGGAGGTTGGTTGTTAATTTGCCAAAGAGTAGCATTGCTAAGATCAATATAATGCTTGGTAATCCAGTACCTGCCCCTGTGGTTGTGCCAAATGAACTTCATTCTTACAGGTCAGAAAAGAGAGGTAAATGTAAAACATGTTTAAAGTCTATACATGGTGCTGGGTATTGTGCTAAGTCTGCTAAAATGAACATTTGTCAATTATGTCAAAGTTTGAATTGTCAAGACTATCGAAAACATATCTGTTGCAGTTGCTATGACAAGCTACACACTTAGTGAAATGCAAACAACAGTGTTCTGTTGTTTTTTTTAAATCATCAAATAAACTGTGCTGGCCATAATAGTCACCAGAACTTAACTCTCAATTATCACTCGCCCCTTTACGTACTGCAATAGATAACGATGCCAGACACCTGTACAAGATAGGGTTAATTGGTAGTTCTGTAATATTTATTGATCTATAAAAGATAAAATATGGAATTCAACCTAACTTAGTACAGCACGGAGCTTAAATTGTTGGCGAAAGTATCCCTTAATATAATACAGTATAGAATAAAGACGAATATAAAAATTCAACATTCATAAATTTTTAAATAAATTTAAATTGGCATGTAGGAACTGAATGTAGTTTTACCCTCAATTTGCTGTTACACTAAGTGATATTTTGTGGTTTATAAAATGGAGTTTTCATGTTTTACGATAAACATTTCAACCCTTTGAAATATCACAAGTTCACTACTATAGTTCAGGGTCATTAATGGGGAGTTGATTTACTAAATTGTGAATTAGCAAAATTTGTGAATCCAGAAACCACCAATATTGAGGGTCTACTATGTTTAATTTTCTTCCATTTTCGTTTTTTTTCAAGTGCATAAACTTTTTTCTTTAATGCTTTCATTTATATGATTTACATGTGTATACATTTTTTTACACAAACTTCATAATTTCAGGAGCTAAGGTGCCCAGAATGTCGTGTGCTAGTAGAGGTGCCAGTGGATGAGTTACCACCAAATATTTTATTGATGAGAATTTTAGAAAGTATGAAAAATGCTCCCCGGTCTGCAATAAGCCAGTCCATGAAGCCATCTCAGACAATACCTCATCCTAGCCAGCCTCCAGGTAGACCTAAAATAAAAGATGGTCCACCCCTTACTCAAGCTCCACCTCCACCTTCACTACATCGCTTCTCTTCCACGATGTACATAGGATCCCCCTCCACCACTTCTGAAGTGACACTTCCCCCAGGGGAACATTTAGCTGGGTTTGCTGGTGGAGGAAGTGGAGGCTCATATGGTAGAGGTTTAATAAGCAGCAACAATCTAGGAGGAAGTGCCAATCAAGATGGTTTGAATGCAACAGTATCTGCTGTCAACTCCCAAAGCAACAGTAACTTAAATATATCTTCTTCATCTGCTGTCCTTGTCTCTGTGGCTCAACAAAAACAGGTAAACTTCTTGCTGTACAGTATATAATAATGATTAAATATATGACCTATGGTTCCTCAGTAAGTGACCCACGAGATAACCTAACCACTAAATGCCTTCTCTGCACCCTTCAGGGGTGGTTATAATTTGGTGATAATCACACTACCTATGTTTTGGTGTGAGTTACCTTTCTTCTCCTCTTGATATGTTGACTTAGGGTTTAGTGAGGTGTTCAGGATTCATACACATAACCTTCAGTTAGTCATAAATTAGACTTAAGACTCCAAACCTTAAGGAATATTTAGTGGAATGTCTTACCCACTCAGAACCTTACCCACTCAGGAGGGGGGGGGGGGGCGCCTCCCCCCTCAAGGCAACAAAAAGAGTGAGGGAGACTGAATTTCAGTTCAGTCTCGCTTTAATCTTTTCTAAGAAAGTTTTGTCTTCCTATGTCCCTATGCAGTAATTACCAGGAACTATCATGTCCCACATCATTCATCCCAAAACTATTTAAAGGTCAGTTTTGTGTAGGCCATTCATCTCAGGTTTTTTCAATAAACCAGCAAGCCCTTCTCTGAATCCTCATCAATTGGGGTCTGGCTGTTCAGTACATCATTATTGTTAAACACTAGTACAGTATACTGTACAAAAACAGTGGAAAAATGCAACAAAACCTCATCTAAGTTACCTTATTGGCTGAATGTAAGGGTTTGTAATGTTCTTGAGGCTCTCATATGGACTATGTGACAACAAGCAGTATCAGGCATAAGTTACCTTCAATCTTAGGTTTGGTTTAACCAATAGACTGTTGCCATTTGCTAGAAGCTTCTGGAATGTCAACAAAGCCATTAATCTTCAGACTTTTGTATGTACAGTACTGTATATCAAAACACAGGACAATTTCATTTTTTGGTAAGCTGGATCTTTGTAAATTAGGGAGTGCCGTTGATACTTAAACAAAAACAATTAACAAAATTACAACTCGGGTAAATGGTGTATTGATTTCGTTGGTAATGGCATAAACAAGTGATCATAATTTGGAATATGCCTGATTTCGGTAAGGGAAGAGCCCCCTATTATTCTAAGTTATGGAGGTTTTTACTTTACAGCCAAAGCTAAAAACATAAAATTTAAAAGTCCATAATGCCCAACATTCCACTTTTTTTTTTTTTTTTTTTACATTTAAAGTGCATCCCAAGATTCAAATGTGAGTTTGCAAGTTTGGCCACTCTGTGTGCTTCTGTTAACCCACACTCTTCCATGCCACTGTGCAGGGTCTGGGAATGCTTATTTTTGTATGGAAGTAATCTCCCTGTTAGCTGGAATCCCTGATCCCTGGAACTAGCCAGAATTGAAATCGGGGAAACCTCTCTCCATTCTGGGTCTACAAATGAGTTTCTGAGGATGAAAATCAGGTGCATTTTCCAGAAAAATTCCAAGAAGGTTTTGAGAAAATCTCTCCAAACCTCTGTTCTGGGCCTGGATATAAATTTTCCAGCTGTTCCCACAGATTGCATATTGCTCCGATGCGTCCCCACTTGTCAGGCGCATGGGTGGCCTAGCTGCTTGGATTGCTTAGTTCATATTCTGCTGCCATTGTAGTAGGTTGTTCTCTTGCTAGCTGCTTTTTTGCATAAAATTTGTGCTGTGCAGTACTGTACTGGGACACAATCAGCCAAGAATACAGTGTTAAAGCAGTGTTAAGAATATAAACAATTATTACAGTTCTGTATACTGTACTGTACATTCAGTAAGTGGGAAACATTGGAGCACTTTAGCTTTTGTCTTTATTAAAAACATCTTCAAGTCATGAGACCCACTAATCCTCCACCCCAACAATGGGTGACCTAACATTGCGTCAGGTAAGGTCAGGTCTGTAACATGAGACCCACTAATCTCCCGCCCCACTTTGTCAGAAGTGCAAAATGTAAAAAGTGATTACAGTTATGTAGTACATTCAGCAGAGTGGACAATATGCCTACGGTAGGCTCAAGGCGACAGCATCTGCTGGTGAGTACTGTACACTGTACAGTACTCACCAGCATAGGAGGGAAGATCAGCTAAAACTAATGGCCCATCACTTTTTTGGTAGATTTTAGTGTATATAAACAGAAAATAATTTCAGTTTCAATATTTTGCAACCTTTTGCTAGGTAAATTTTAGCGTGAAATTTATCGAAAATCTAACGTACAGCTGCATTAGTGCATTACAATTAAATAGTGAACATTGCTTTCTGACTTCATTCTTTAACAACCCAACTAACAATATTTTTTTCTGTTTCAGATTCTGATGCATTTATAAGTTGATGATATTTGCGATGGCTGCTTGTGTCAGGACGAGGAACCAAAAATCCGGCCATCTCAGTCACTATCTTGGGTCTGGGAGAGAGCTCCTGAAGTCGGAGTTGCCTACATTGAGAGATGCTTTGAGATACGGTGTTTTAATCAGGCAAATCAGTGAAAAGAACTAAAGAACTGGCACAAACAAAGATTACTAAGCAGTGATATGACCAAAGTTTGTCAAGTATTGTATACACTCTGGCTAACGCTCAGTTCAGTTTCCAGTCATAATGTCAGAAGAAGATTAGTGAGAGAGACTGTTAGCTAGTTGGGGAAAAGGCAAGAGATATCTCTTGGGGAGAGGAAAACTTGCAGTTAAGGACAGCTTTGCCAAGCAACTGGACCAGTTATTTAATATAATTACTTGCAAGTGCCTACTGTTCTCTGTCCTGAGTTTGATGCGATCGTGACTGTAACCGAGGCCCACATCTCCTGTATTTGCAAGCGTGGAACGAAGATTCCTGTGATCGAACTGGCATTTGTCAAAGCACAGAGAGAGACTATAGGGTTCTCAAGGATTTCTAGCCAAGATATTCCGGAGTCCAAGAGACAGGAGGCTGCCGCCAGAGAGAAATGAGAGAAGAGTTGCTTGCGAAAAGAGACTGAGAAGGCCCAGGTGAGGTAAAAGAGGCCGATGATTGGAGTCAAGCTGATTCAGAGTTTAATGACTTCCCATGGCTGATCCGAGTGCTGACCAGGAGAATGGTGACTGTCCCTAACCCAGAAAATAATGATCCCAAACCTCTGCATAAGATTCGCAAATAGGGAAGATATCCCGAGCATAGCTCTGGCCAGCATGCGACACCACACTGGTCTCGGCAGAAACTGCAGATAGCAACAGCTGCCTGGGTTGACGGTTTGATAACACCTGATGATGTTCCACCTGGTGATAGGATCATAACAAAGTAAGGAGAGCTCAGGAGAAACTTGTCAGTAACCTAGAAGAGAGTTTGATAAGGATAAGAGAAATGGAATCATCAATTATTTGTTCTTTGATGGAGGGGGGGGGGATGACACTAAAGTGTTCAAGTGAAAGTTGGAGATTCTGACAAGTTGTTCCCTGCCATGGTGAAGGAGGAACACTACCCTGCTGCCAGGAACCAGGAGGAAGTATTTGTGGCATTTCACCCAGAGAAAGATGACATCAGGAAACCAGCTGATAGTGGCAGATAACATTGTGAACTGGCTCAGGAGAGAACGCAGACCAGACCCTGCGTGCCATTGGTGACAGCACCAACTACCAACACAGGGTGGCAGCAAATATGGATAGAGCGGAAGATTGGGAGGAAGCTGGCCTGATTGTCAGAATCTCCACACCAACGAGTTGCCACTCAGACATCTGATCCAGGAGCCGATGGCAAGACTCTTCAAACAACAGATGGTCTGGTCCTCTTGGCAAGATGCTGACCTGCCACTGAGTTAGAAATAAACCGAGCTTTGAAAATCACAGTTGGCCTCCACTCGTTGAGCTTGCACATACTGTTGTCATTGACGAATCTGAGTACCACTAGTAATTATGTTACATGATTTGCAGTGCCATCAAAACTGGGGTCATGCCTGATAGACTTGCTTACCTGCAGATAGGTCCAGTCTCACATTCAGGTGGCTCACAACGGCTCTCAGGTTCTGCAGAATTTGGGTCGCCCATCATAAACTGAAGGGAACCAGTCACAACCTGAGACTTATTGTCCAATTCATCGTGGAGTGTCACTTGCTAAATTGGTTCAACACCAAGGTCAAGTCATCAAGCCTGGTTGTCCGAGGCATGTTCTCTTCCAGCTTGAGCCTCCTGAGGAGTCAGCCAAGGAAGGTTGTCTTAGACTGTGGAGTGACTGTGAGGAGATCTTCCTGGTATGCCTATCCCGAGGCAGCCTCGGCAGACAAATGCCTGCAGTAAGGATGAGGAGGAGAGAAGAGTGGCAGTCAAAGATCTTGATATGAGACTTTATGAGAGGATCTGGGCATGACGAATCAGTTATGATTTATCTTCAGGGTCAGAAGACTCCTGAAGTCAATCTAGGTGCCAAGACCTCACTGATCCTTTCATAGATCTGATAACATCCAGGCGCAGTGAGCCTACTTCCTGCAGCCTCACCTTACGACAAACTCCTGCCTGGCCCCTCGTGACACCCAGAGTATAGAGCGTTGTGTACAGCAAGTGAGCGAGGCCAGCAGTCACGTGTACAGCCAAGAGAGGAGGGAAGGCTACATCCAAGCTCAGGTGGTCAGCAGGGAGGTGATGAGTAGAAACAGAAGCAAGAAAGACATAAGCTCCTCCTCTATGGTGTGCAGCAACACTGGTCGTAGTAGTAAAAACCGTGTTTTGTATTTGATGATTTTGTTTTCTAAAGGAATATTAAATTTAATAAATGTGTCAAGATCATTCGTTTACTATTCTGGATCATTTTTATCCTAATAAATTAACCTGATACATTTACTTTTACTTTAAATAAGCTATTTAGTGGTGTTGGTAAAAGGGTGGGAATACTGAATTTTCATAAGATTTCAAGTTAAAATTTACCTAGCAAAAATGAAAAACTTTTCAAATCTGAAGATATCACATGATTCCACATAGAACTACATCATTAATACCATGGCCGATTTTTCAAACAAAAAAAAAAAAAAATTCGCCTCCAGATGACACACCCTTACTGTACAGTATATACAGTACATGTACAGGAT